GTTGGGGGACTATGGCTCTGCGCCATGGCAGCTATGCCATGGAGTACTGCAGGGGTCCATTTTGTCCCCTTTGGGGTTCAACATCTACATGAAACCGCTGGGAGAGGTCATCAGGAGGTGTGGGCTGCGGAATCATCAGTACGCTGATGATACCCAGCTCTACCTCTCGTTTTCCACCAATCCAGGTGAGGCAGTGGCTGTACTGAACCGGTGCCTGGCCGAGGTAATGGGCTGGATGAGGGCCAATAAACTGAAGCTCAATCCAACAAGACGGAGGTCCTGTTGGTTGGCGGATCAGGCTTCGGAGAGGGTGAATTGAACCTTGTGCTGAATGGGGTTGCCCTCCCTCTTAGGGACAAGGTCCACAGCCTGGGAGTGCTCCTTGACCCGGAGCTTTCACTGGAAGCTCAGGTGACAGCAGTGGCGAGGAGCGCTTTCCTCCAGCTTCGGCTGATTCATCAGCTGCGCCCCTACCTGGAGTACGACTGCCTGGCGACAGTGACACATGCGCTGGTGACTTCCCACCTTGACTTCTGCAACACGCTCTACGTGGGGCTACCCTTGAAGACGGTCCGGATACTTCAATTGGTTCAAAATAGAGCTGCCAGGCTGCTGACGGGGTCTGGGTGGTATGTTCACATGACTCCAGGCCTCCGACAGCTTCACTGGCTTCCCACTGAAGTCCAGGCCTAATTCAAGGTGTTGGTGATGACCTATAAAGCCCTAAATGGCTTGGGTCCTGGTTACCTGAAGGAACGCTTACATCCATATATGCCCGCCCGCCCCTTGAGATCTGCGGGAAAGGCCCTTCTCCGGGAACCCTCCGTGAAAGAAATCAGGAGGGTGGGTACTCGGAGGAGGGCTTTCTCTGCGGTGGCGCCAAATCTATGGAATGCGCTCCCCAGAGAGGTCCGCCTGGCGCCACCATTATTTGTTTTTCGGCACCAGGCGAAGATCTTTTTATTTAAGCGTTATTTTAACTGTTAATATTATTGGATTTTATCTGGCCAGGGTGACTTATTTTATATTGCTATTTTTTATATTTTAACTTAATGCTTGCATTTTACAAACATTTTAA